TATCTCAGCCCAAAGCCAAACTATTAAATGAATAAAATCCCTGTATACTAGATCAGGACACGAGAAGATTACCCGTGTTGCTGAGAGATTATCAAGTGAATAAATCTAGCATGTGATAGATAAAACAAATACCCATTAAAAATACAAATCTCTCAACACTAGGAAGAGAAATGCATTCCCAGCACAGACTCTGAAAGCCTTCAAAAAGACAGGCATATCCAGCATCAGAACAGATGGAGAAGATGGACAATAATTGCTTTCCAAGCATCCATCCCCACAAAAGCAGTGAGTACAGGCCCCCTAAAGAGACAGATAATAAGAGTAAAAGGAAAATAAAGAGTATCTCTGAAACACCTTGGACTAGATGAGAACAGCTGGGAATTTCTGCAATGAAGTGTGACATACTAGAGACAAATGCAGACGCTTCTGGCTACTCAGCCAATATTTGAGTTGGTATTGCCTTGATCTCAGAAATTTCCACTGACTTTTGGAGATAAGAGATGTGTAACTGCACCAAACTTCTGATTCTTGCTCTTGACTCCAGTCAGCCCAAAGTAAATCCAAGTTTCAAATAATTTTGCCCCTTCCCTTCACTGACTTTGGAGTCCACCTTCCCCTCTTAAGGGCACCTCAGTTCTGGTTGTTTCACACTCAAATTTCTCTATATACACCTTGGTCTAGAAAATGAAAATTGTCTTGCCATATTCACCTGTCAAGAAAGAGGGCAGCAGCACGAGACTTATTATTAATTATTTAATCAGCCCCTTGTGGGGGTTTCTGGGCTCATGCCAGCTCTCCCTTCAGAGTTTTTGGACAAACACAGTGTGAGGGGAAGGACTCCTGTGCACTCTCCCAAGCTGTTTCATTACACCTGATTTATAGCATGACACTACTTGTTCTAGCCCATAACCTTGAGCTTGTAAACTACACAGGGGAAAATTTACTAACTACTGAGTTCACCTTAATGCACTGTTGGGAATCTTAAGTGGGGAAAAAAGAAGGGAAGGAATTGGGCATCTAGAGGAGCTGGTTTTGAACAGCAATCCTGTACTGGCCCAGTGCAGTGCATCTCACTCTGTTTCCATTTAAATAAAGTTTTCATTTACACAGCCAGCATACAGTAAGGACCAATGTTTATCTTGCTCTGAAGGTACTAATCAATAGGAGAGTTGTAGACATTTCCCAGCTTATTAGCTGCACACATGGATGGAGTTTCCCACAACACCATGTACAAATGCCATTACTCCACTCTTAGCTGGCATCAGAGTTTGATTAATAACAGAAGACAGAAAACTGGTTTGCAACTTTTCTGTTAGGATAGAAAATTGTCACCCACATTGCAAACTCTAGCAGTAAAGGAGTGTAAACAGAAAAGCCCTGAGAGCTGGATCATGGGTGCCACAGGTCCTTTTACCACACAACCCTTGGTGGCTGCACTGCTGTGCAATACACACAAGCACCACCTCAAATCCAGAAGTTATTCAGATGCTCTGCCCCACATTTTGTCACTGTTTTCAAGTGTAGACTTTTAGGTTAATTTCCTCAGCTAATACTCTTGAGGTGAATGTCTAATTTGCCCAAGGTAGAGTTAGGTTCTCCTTGGCTCATTCCCTTCAATGGCAGCCTGCCCTCTGTACTGATTTACAACTTCCTTGAAACAAGCAGAGAGGGTTGATATTACAGAGTAAATACAAAATGAACTCTGCATTCACTGACTATTCCCAAGAGATATCTTGCTCCTTACTGCAGTCTAAGTACTCAAAAGTCAGTCCCTGAAACTTTCTCAAGTAATTTTTGCTATGTAAGGCTCCAGCAAACAACTTGTGTGATAATTTCTGCCATTACAGGCTCTTACTTTGTTCAGCTTTTAAATATTTTAAATTAAATGGCTGAAGTGCTGCTGGATAGATGGCATTCAGCAATAAAGGCTTGTTCTTTGAAGAGCCTGAACTAGGGGCCTTTCAGGCAGGACTGTAGCTCATGTGCTGGGGAATGTCACACTCTGTTTCTGTAGTTCACTGAGGACATTAGGAGCAATCTTATTTCTATTCAAAGCAGAATTATGTTTGCAAATTACTTTCCAGCATCCCAGCAGTGGATTCTCAGAGGGACTGGCAGGAAGCAGTGATTCCTGTTGTTCCTTCACTCCAGTGACTGAAGGATTTCCCAAGTGACAGCGCAGTGCAGACAGGACTGTCACACAGCTCCTGTTTGTGCCAACAGAGAGTCACAGGATTTGTCCTGCACAACCTTGCTGGAGCCAAGTTCACACCAGGTACACCACACAGCTGAAGCACTGGGCAGAACACACCTGTCAGTGCCCAGGTACCAGCTGAGCCCTAATGCAAGCCACCAGAGCAGTTCCCAGCAGGCCAAACCAGCAGTACCAACTGTCCAGTCACTGACTCACGCTCTCATTTATTTCCATGTTTAAAAAAGGATGATGAACATTTTATAACTACAATCATGAGCATTTCTTACTCTACTTTTGATTAACCACTTCATTAACAACTGCCCAGAAGTCTTAAAAAGGAAAAAACAAACAACCACACACATCCATAAAGATAACAGGCTGCCTGACTAAAGTACTACTTTCTCATTGGATACTTCAAAATGTTTATGAACAAGCCCAACAGCAGGTTTACAAGTTTCTCCTCAGTTAAATCTCACATTGCTGAGCAGAGCTCACAGTTCTGCTCCCTTCAGATTTCCCTGAAGCCTCACTACACCTTGACAAGAACTTGCTCCTTCTGCTGTTTCTGTACCACCAGCACAAACACACATCAGTGGTGAGTTTACAGTGCCCCCAGATGTTACTCATGAAATCAGCACCAAGTAGAGGCCTCACTGCCTCTCCATCCCTTCTGGTGACAACATTTTAAAACATTTGTTTATAATAAATGATCTGCTAAAGGCTTATTGCAGTTAGCATGGAATTTTGTGTCTGAATCTGTACCACACACCTGAAGTGCAGATGTACTATAATTACCACGAAAGCACAGTATAATCAAACCTCTAAAATTTATAAATATACAATTATATATAGAAATTACCAGTATAAAGCTGTGTCACTAGATCTCACTGAAATGGAAAAGGTTCAGGTTCCCAGCATTCTGATGGACCTGCCACAGAAACCACTCCAGACATTCTTACCACCCTACCAGGGAAAGGCAGGGACCAAGGCAGCTCCTCACCTCACCCAATCTCCCATCACTCCTGTCACAGACACGGCTGTGGAACTTCCTTAGCCAGAACCATAAAGATCAACTCTGGGTTATGCATGTTTAAGACAGCAGAAAAAGCTACCAAGGCACAGAATACTAAAAACATGCCAAAAATGAGTTTTCCCACTTACTGTCTTGAGGAAGAAAAACAAGAACAAGCAACAACCTTGCTTTTAAGCTGAAAAACTTTTAAAGCCCAGGTCTGTTTGTTTAAAGGACTTTCAGGGCCACCTGCAAATCATAAAGAAGCTGGAAAATACATCAGTCACATTCTCACTTCTCTCTGTCTGTGGATTCATAATCTCTAAGGACACAGCCTTCTCTGGAGGTCCAGAAAAGATCTGAAGCAAAACCTACAGCATTCAGGAGAAATAGGTACTGGAATAAAATATCTAGGAGCCAGATTTTAGATATTTACATGTGTCTAGGTGTAATATATGCGAGTGCTTATTAAACTTGGATTATTTTGCAATTCTTTAGTCTTCTCCCAGATCAGTGATCCCCAAAAAGATTATAAACAATTTAAGTTTGCTAGAACTTGTAAGAGATTCACTGTGACAGAGGAGTGTAAGGGCAGCTGGCAGAGCCCAGCACAGCTGTTTATCACAGTACAACAGAAACAGTTCTTCAAACACACATCAGGGACTGCAGAGATAGAGGGTTTTATCAGAACACACCTTTCAGGCAAGTTACTAAATCGTGGCTTTACAGCAAGAAATGTGTTTGAAAGTGCACTGCAGAGAACCAGATTGCAAATAGACTCCCATTAATAGTACTGAGCTCTCAATGTGCTTCTTGTGTAACTTCACTGTCCCCTAATACTCTAAACATCATGAAACCCTTTCTTCAGCAGCCAAAAGAAATCACTCTGTACCAACCTTTGTAAAGACAATAACAATAATTTGTTTCCTTACAGGAACTGTCCCTTCCCCATCGTCCAAAATTGATCAAAGTAAACACATGTAAGAAAAGCTACCATGAGTTGTTGCAGTAAAAGGACCCAAGTAAGGTAAGCAAGCTATCTCCCACTCCAATGTTCCCAGAATAGAAAAGAAAGGTCTAAATATCAGACATTTGCATGTACAAGCAGCTGCTCATTCTGTTTTTATGCTGATATTTGACTCTGACCATCTTGATTTGAAAATCTGACTGAGCAAAATGAGATTCCTCCATCGATCTGTCTTCTTCTCTTCAGAGAAGTAATGATAAAAATGGGATTGTTTTCAAAGAACTGAAAGCCTGATTTGTATATGCAACAAGCCATTCTATATTAAATCCACTTTCCTCAATGTTACAAAAGCAATTTGTTTCCAGACAATGCAGAATTAGTTCACTCTTCACCAAAACAGTTTTTCTCCATATTCTGCCTGTTACCCACAATGAATTTCCAGAGAGAACAGCCTGAACTCCATGCCTATATCAGATTATGAATGCCACGGGCAAAATCCAAAAGAGTTTGACTATTCTGGAAGTTTTCACTGCTACCTCCTCTTTGACAAACTAAATATTGCCACCTACTGACTGCCAAAGCCTGAACTTCAAAGGATTTTTTTACTTCCCTCTCCCTGACACAACTCCCAAGACACATAATGAAGGTCATTACAGCCCAGATAAACCAAAAATTGATGTCTGATATTCTGAAATATTATTGTTACTGGGTTTTGTCCACTGTTTCTTGCTTACTTCCAATGTTCTAACTACTTTAAGATGTCAAATTTTAGTCTGAGGTTTGATCTTGCAGCATGACTATCAAGCACATAGTTTTACAATAAAAGGCCCACCATACATAGCAGAGACACCAAGCTTTTTAACAGCACCATGTGTTTTAGGTTTGACAGTCCAGAGCCGAGCTTGAATGCTGTGGTCCAAATAACTCAGAGAAGGTAACATCTGCTGCTCCAAGATTTTTCCATACCCTTGGCTTGACAAACAGGGAAAAACCCATGATTTTTCTCACATCATCCAGCTCCAGCAACACCAAAGATGTAACTAAACCATGACTTTTAATTATTCCTTTATACAATTACATTGCCCAACAGGAGATAGCTATACAGCCACTAAAGTGTGTCACAGTGTGTGAACAAGGGTTCTGTTTCGCAGCTGCTGCACATACTCCTTTGCTTGGTCAAAGCCAGTCTTTGGTGGCTCTGGGGGAGGAGGAGGACCTTCCACCAGCTTCACAAAGTAGTGGCACCTGCTGATCCTCATCATGCCAAACATGCCCTTGCCGTGGCACCGCAGCCGCTTCACGTAACGGCCCCTGCCCGTCTGCGACTCCGCTGAAGGAAAAAGGACGGGAGAGAAGATTACTCAGCCAAGAACAAACTGCTCCAGCTGCAATAAAACACCTGTCTTGCCAGGGTGTTTTTCATGGCTGCTTCTAGAAAGTTAATTCTACTCGGGATTCTCCCCTCCATCTTTCTTCTGTTACATTTAGCAGATCACTGCTACAGAGGAACCCGTGAGCTGCATTAACACTCTTCAGGAGCACCAAAAAGGAGAATTTAGAAAGCAGGCACACAAAGATAAATATGTGGTGAAGGAAAAATCACACTGAGCAGTTACTAGATTATACAGCTCTTCTGAAGGTGGTATTTGTTTCACTGCCTTTCAGTAGTTTGTCTCATGAATTCCTGTAAAGCCTTACAGACTTCATTTTCCCTCCCTTCTCCCTTTATTGCATTCATCACAGGTATTTTCATTATCTGCACATCCAGTCCTGCACTACAGCTGAGCCTGCTTGTGGCAGAGGCCTGGAAGGCTCCAAAGAATTCTAATCAAATCTCTCTACAGTCCAGGTGACTTTAAGCTTATGAGGTCAGTTGAGTAAAATTTATCCCCTGTTAGACAAAATGGCAATTTATTTCTTTGGGCCTCAAAACACCTAAGAGTAAATATTTCTCTAACATTTTCTAGGCTAAAAAGCACTTTCATTATTACAAGCTAATCCTGCAAACAATCTACAGACAAGTCTTTTTATAAAGAAGTTTGCTGTCATTATCCATTTACTTTTATACTGTGTCTGATGGAAATTTAGCTTTGATCCTGCAAATCAAGTTGTACCAGCCACAGACAAAGCTCCCAGCATCTCTGTCTGGCAACATTAAAAACTAGAAACCATTTGTTTCTTATTGTTCAATCTTCCAGATTTGTGTAAAGCATCTTCCTCTTCAGGATGTTCTGTTCAACAGGGAGCAGAAATTCCACTCTGAGATGGATACATCTGTCTTAGAAATGCTGCAAACATGTACCTTGAATTTTTTGGTAAAGTTAAATTTAGCAGAAACTGTCCTCTATTCACTTCTGGTGATTTCAAGCATCAAAATCTTATTAAATATAACACATTTCCACAGGTAGGATGACACTTTTCTAATGCACTAAATTTAAAAAATGTACCTATGTGTAAGTTTGATTTGAATTCCACATTGTGCTTTCTTACAGCCATTTCCTGTGCTTCTAACAGAACCTGTAACAAAAGGAAAAGAAATGGAAATACTGAGGAGGAATTTAAAGAATACTATTTCTTATCTCTAGATAACATGAAAGAAATTGCAAGTTTAAGTCAGTTATAGAAAAAGTATTTTATAAAGATAAAAACTGTTAAAAGACAAGCATCTTTTCCATAAGGAAGTTTCCTGCGTAGAATGAAAAAGCCTCAGGACAATTTTATTAGATTTTTGGAGAGGAAAGGGAGTGGAAAAGATGTTTTCCACCAGCATTTGTCAGCCTTCTCTCCAGAGACCTTTGTGTAATTAGACATCTGACTAGAAATAAATTCCAAGGCTGGCAAAATGAACTTGGTCTATTCAATATTTTCAGCTAATACAGGATGTTTCTTTGCCATAATTATACCAGAAATCAACGGTTCAGCCAAGAAAATTAGTAATTTGAGAATTCAAACTACCACAGTGTATTCAAAGCTTTTGTGCCTTTACAGAATTTAGTCGTCTCTTACAGTTTAAGAACCAAAGCACACAGATGTAGCTGCCATTAATGACCAGAATTCTGCACCTTTTACCATGAACTTAACACCAAGCACTGCTAGAGAGGACACCCACATGGAATTTATCACCATGACAAGTTAGAACAGCCAGCACAGGTGACCCCAACATATTCATAAGTCACAGTGTCACCTGACTGCAACAAAACTGTGTTGTTAGAATGTGCTCCCAACGGGCTTACTTGAAACACAAAAAGCCACAGAAGTAGAAGCACCTCCAAACTTCTGGTGACAGATATTGATTTTCAAGTTTTCTGGAAACCAGGAGTGTTAAAGAATACTGTTATTTACCTCTTTGATCACCTTTGCTCCCTTTTTGTCACTGAATTCCAGCTGAGCGAGAGCCTGATCAATGGACATTCCTTTTATCTGCAATCAAAGTGGTAAAATTAACTTCTGCATTCACAAGTATTTCCTTTCTCTGATTCAGAAGACAACACTTAAATTATACTGCTATTATAAAAACAAAAATACTGTCATTTCCTTAATGACCATTTCTTCAGTGTAATACCTGCTAAAGCAAAGTACAAACAGCCATTCCCTGTCCAGATCCATGCTCATCCCCAGGATTCTGCTATAAAGATGCTGATTAAACGGTGATTGAATGAGGTTCTTAAGACAAATACAGCAATTAAATTTTGCATTCTCTCAAGTAGAGCACAAAGTACTCTTTGCTTACCAGTTTTGCCAGATACCACATCTTATCTTTGCTGTATTTTATTTCCCTCCGACAGTGATATATTTCCTAGGAGCAAAAAGAAGTTAAGGGATGAGTAATTTTGCTGTGAAAACAGGAATGGAACATCCATGTCTGCTCCACAATCTATTTTCTTACTAAGAATAAAATAAGAATGGCTCTGCCTACTATGAGAACAGCAGATCAGGCATAGCTTTGATATTTGAAACTGAAAGCACTAAAAAAAGGTACGGGCACACAGGAAATTTTAATTTAATCTTATGACACTTAGTTTATAAGCAGAAGTCCCTGAAAATGATAATCAAGAGGTTTATCACCATCTTTTCCTCTCATTCTCCCCACTTTAGAAGCAAAGCCTTCATTCAGCCTTAAAAATATTACCCTGCTGTCAACTCAACTTACTGGGAGAGCAAATAAACAATATTACCAGAATGAACTTAATTAGCTCTCGAGAAGTGAAGAGGGTTTCAAGTTTGATTAGCACAAAGAGCTGCCTCCACAGACCCATTTAACAGGGACCAGCACCAGCTGGTAGAATCTAACATCAATGCAAATTTGAAAGAGATGGAACTCTTGATAATCAGGTAAAACACTGATTTAATAAACAAGTCTGTCAATAGCTGCATTTTCACACACACTGCATCACTCCACAGCAGGGATTTCTAAGGCCTAGGCCACAATGTTCACAAAAGCAATCAATAAATGCTCATGGCTCACAAAATACATGCCTAAAAAAACCTCATTTCTTTTCAGATATAAATACTTTTACTTTGCTGAGCAGTGTGTCTAACAGAAGCCACAACACATCCATTCCTAATGAAGAAAAATGCTAACAATGGAATTCCAGAATATCAGTTCTTGACAGTACAATTTTTACCTCCTTGTAGTTCAGAAACTTCTACAGAGGATGGGCCCCTCACAGCTTGAACCACACACTGAGTAGGTGATCAGCTCCCAGGAACTCAAGGCTCCAATACAATTTAGAGATGGAAAGCAATTCCAAGTGATATCAACTTGTACAACACAGCCAAACTGAATAAAATCCTAAATAATGAGCAAACAGGCTTTCAAACCAGTGCCCCGTGCAGTCACCCTGTGCAGACAGTGACAATCTGCTCAGAAATTGCTCAACATTCTCAGGTGAGGACATTCACAGGTGCATCCTTACAGCTGGTCTGCGAGGCTCTCCAGGCAGCTGGGGAGGGTAAACAATCCTGTTCTTCTTCTCCCACTTCCCAATTTTCTGCAGAGATGTGCTGGTGTGGATGCATGACAGAGGAAAGAGGCTGCCAGATGCCAGCCACCTGCAAGGCAAGACCACAGCCTCAGCTGCTGAACACAAGGGTTCTTTGTCCCTGCCCAGTTTATCTGGAAAACTGTGAAGTTGCTGTCTTGAAAAAGAGAACCAGCACATTTGTATACTCAAAAAACCAAACTATTAAATCCTTTATAGTTTATGTTGAAAAGGCTTTTTAATTCAGCAAGAAGACTCAAGCTTCTTAAAGGAAACCATGAATGTTGGTGTGAGAGTCCACATGAAGTGTCCTCAGACTGTCACACAGTCACAGCCACCTCTGTTCTGATGCTCTTGTGGGGTTCAGGACTCTCACAAACCATTTGTACCTTTCCCAAGGTACTTTCTATACTTATTTAACTTTTACCAGCAACACATTTAGCAGTGAAAATTTCTAGCTTTTCACGGGGCTGTGTATCTCAGAGCATTAGAGGTTTATAAACATTGTGACATTTGAGAAGAGAGGTGTTCTAAACTACTTCCAAAACACAATCAAGTCAATCCAAAAACCAGGGAGCTGATAGCAATAAAATCAATTTTCAGGCAGTTTGCTCAGCTCAGATTCTGAAAAACCAAGTTACATTTTGCCCCCTGCTGCCTGGACAAAGCAGCAGTGGGCAGCCACTGGTGACTACAAGAAACAGAAGAGTTCCAGACCAAACACTCTGAGTTTTACTGAGCCTTGAACGTCTTTGTGCATGTGGCCAACCTGTGCAAAGCATCATAAAAACAACAGGCAACCAGAGCATGCCAAAAGGGCAGTGTACAGCCTTGTTCACAATAATATGTGAGCAGAAACACACGTATTTCAATGTCATGGAATATTTCTTCAGGTATTTGCAGGGATGCAGAATGAGGGGAAACTTCAGCAAGTGAGGAAAGCAGTGACTGGGGACAGTACAGATGTCACATTACTGTGACCTGAACTATGCAGTCAGAGAGAATAGGGATGTCCAACAGAAAGAAGTGAGGAGAGACATTGTGGCACAAGCTCTGAATACACAGAAGCACAGCACAGGGGCAGAGTGACCTGTGCCCACAGCTCCAGGGCTGGGGGGGATGGCCAAGCCAGGGGACCCCAGAGCCCAGCCCCAGGCAGCCAAGCAGGGCAATGCCAGTCCCCCTGCCAGGGCGACAGAGCCAGACTCACCTCTCTGGCCGTGCCCAGCTGAGGAGACCTCGTGCCCAGGCAGCACCTGAAGGGAAGGGAAAGTGAGGGAGGCATGAACAGAATGGTAAAACCACAGCATGGTTTGGGTTGGACCTTGAAGACCACCCATCCCATCCCCTGCCATGGCAGGGACACCTCCCACTCTGCCAGGCTGCTCCGAGCCCCATCCAGCCTGGCTTTGGCCACTTGGAGAGTTCCAGGGCAGCCACAGCTGCTCTGGGAAACCCGTCCCAGGGCCTCAGCACCCTCATAGGGAAGAATTTGTTCATAATATCTAACCTAAACCTACTCGCTGCCAGTTTGAAGCCATCCCCCTCATCCTGTCACCCCAGGCGCTGTAAATATCTCACTCCATCACTCCTGGACGCTCCCTTCACACACTGTAAGGCTGCAACTTGGTCACCTCGAAGCCTCTCTTCTCCAAGCTGAACAACCCCAATTCTCCCAGCCTTTCCTCCACACGAGAGCTGCTCCATCCCTCCGCTCAACCCGGCGGCCTCGTCTGCAGCGAGACCGTCGCGGAGCGGCGCCGCGTCCCCTCAGCCTCACCCGCGTCCCCTCAGCCTCACCCGCGTCCCCTCAGCCTCACCCGCGCCCAGCGCCCAGCGCGCCGCCATCTCCCCGGCCTCGCTTGGCGGCAGGGGCGCGCCTTGCGACACTTTGCGGCGGCGTGCGCGGCGCTCGGCGGCAGCGCCCGGAGCACGAGGGGCGGCCTGAGGGGAGCGGGGCGATGGCGGCGGGGACGGGAACGGGGACGGGGACGGGGACGGGGACGGGGACGGGGACGGGGACGGGCGTGCGGGCGCTCCCCGCCTCCCCCAACTGGTACAGCAGCCGCTGCAGCGATGCCAGCAGTGACGGCCGCCTCTTCGGCTTCGCGGCGAGGCACCGCGTCTGCCTGCTGGATGTGGCCGCCGCGCCCGCGTTCTACGGTACCGTCACACGCAGGGAACCGGGCTGGGCGGGCGGGATGGATGCGGGAGTGCGGGCAGGCCCCGGGTGCCCCGTGACGATTCCTCCTTGCCCTCGCTGCCAGGGGAGCTCGTCGGGCACACGGACAGGATCTCCGGCTTCGCCTTCTGCCACTGCCCCGGGCAGAGCAGCCTCTGCGCCAGCAGCTCGGATGACGGCAGCGTCAAGGTCTGGGACAGCGGGACCCTGTCGCCGGTGCTGGAGTACAGCCTGCACCAGGTGGGGACACGGGACACGGGACACGGGCACGGGGACTCGCGGGATGGGCTTCGGGGCTCGCACTCGGAGCACGGCGAGGCTGCTTTGCCCAAAAGGGAGCTCCACGCAGGTGTGATGGAACCTGTTTGGCGCTCCTGGCCGGCTCTTTGTTCGTAGCCTGCGGCGCTGCTCATCCCCGTCGTTAGCTGCTGCTTGCCAGCACAGCCCGTGCTTTGGGCTCGCTGCCGCTTAACCCGGTGGGAATTCTGAAAATTCCCACAAATTGTACTGGTTTTGGACGCGTTGCAAAAGGCAGGCCTCAGAGGCAGCAGAACTGTGATTAGAGTAGACATAACATTTGTCAGCAGAAAAATTTTACAAGAAGTAGAAAGTAAGGACAAATAGAACAATGGTCAGTGTATTGACACTTGGCTAGAATAACTCCCTAAGTTATAGAAAAGTATATTTAGCGGGATATTAGGAAGTTCTAAGCTTAATAATGGAGCTCTGTGCATTGTATCTTAAGGCTTACAAGCAGGTATTGTATTGGAAATAAGCAAGTATTGTTTTAACCAAAGGTACATGTGCTTATAGTGGTTGGATAGAACTGCTGTCAATATGCTTTTGCTCTGTGTGAGTGGTCAAAAAGCTCTAAAGTAAGTTGTAACATTGAGTTCTTGGTCTGCTGCCTAGGATGTGAGCTGCTGGCATCTTCCCATTGTCATATCTATGTAATGAGAGTGATGCTGGAAAATAAACAGCTCGAGGCGTGTTCCTTAGCAGTCCCAGCTCGCCTAAAGTGATCTCAGTAAATTGCTGTGGCCACAGGACAGACTAAATGTGTATTTAAAGAGCTCCTGCAGCTCAGGAGTGCCCATCAGCAGCTACATCCATCCTCTAAAACCTGGAAGAACAGAGGCACTCAGGGAGAAAGCCCAGTGCTGCTGGGCACTGCTCACAGATGATGTCCTGCCTGTTTCTCTGTGTTGGGTGACAGTAAAACACCTTTAAACCTTCCCTATGCTCTTTCTTCAGAATGCCATCTCAGCACTGCACTGGTCCCCTCTTGTGAAAGATCTGATTGTGTCTGGCGATGAGAAAGGTGTCATTGTTTGTTACTGGCACAACAGAAGTGACAGCCAGCAGTTCTTCCCGGAGCCCAGGACAGTTTTCTGCCTCACCTGTTCTCCTCATCATGAAAACCTGGTGGCCATTGGGTAAATACTCATTACTTAATGTTTTGTTTTCCTTATGTTTTGTTTTCCACTCTTCTGCAAGAATTTAATTGTGAGGTTTTGCTGCATGGCTGAAAGGTAAATTCTAAGAGGCCTTGGTGGCTGTTCTTTTAGCTTTGGAGTAAAACAAATTAGAAATAACATTTAGATTTGATAAACCTGCAAAGGCAAAGAAATCTGTGAAAATGTAATGGTCCAGCATGGCTTCTCTTTAATAGGATGATAGTGACCCTGGAAAGAGCCTGTAAATCACCTTGGATATTATTCCACAAGCATCCAAGAATCTCTTCATTAATTTACATCTCTGCTTTCAGCTACAAGGATGGCATGGTGGTGATAATTGATATCAGCAGGAAGAGAGAAGTTGTGCACCGGCTGAGGGGCCATGAGGATGAAATCCATTGTCTGGCCTGGTGCCCTGTGCCTGGGGAAGAAAGGTTACCTGCTTGGCAGAATGAGCTCCAGGGTATGTGAACATGATTAACAACTTTTGGAGTAATTTTTAGTTCATGTAAGTGTCCTTCTAGAGGACTGATTTTTTTACAGAAGGTTAGTAATTAGCTAAGCAACTGATAATGTCAATAAAATATGTTATGATATAAATAAATATATTTAGCTTATTTTTATGAAGCTTTGATTTTTAAAGCAGAATAACATGACTTCAATACTATTCAGCAGCTCCTTCAGAAGAAGGCAAGGTTCCAAACGGGGAGCTGCCACAGGACACAGCCACGAGGAAAGGTTGTTACCTGGCCTCTGGAAGCAAGGATCAAACCATACGAATATGGAGCTGTACCAGAGGCAGGAGTAAGTAAGAGATAAACACTTAACAAGATGTGGAATAGCTCCTGAACCGCAAATTGCCTTTGGCCAGGTACTAAGCATGGAAGACTGTGGCCCAAAATACCAATATTTTATTAGGTTAATGTATTATGATGAAAATTATTTGATAACCACTGGTAAGATAGATAATAAGGATGTCAGCTGTCACAGGTGGGATTGGGAGCACTGTCTGGCTGATTCCCATATTTCCATGATAAGATCTTGCTTTTCTTTTCCTTGCTGTATAATGTTGTTGAACTCAGACAGTTTAGGCTGAAATTTTCCATGTCAAGTGTCTGCCTAAAGCTGATTATTTTGGAAAACTCACTTCAACCTTTGTGTGTGCTGAAAGCATGGGGAATGCAATTAAAGCTGCATATTCCCAGGACTCCTCTGTCTGTTTGAGAATTTGGATGTGATGCCTCTTGGTCCTGCAGGTGTGATGACTCTGAAGCTGCCACCCACCAAGAGGAGAGGTGGAGCCGTGGACCCGACAGTCAAGGAGCGCATCTGGCTCACTGTCCACTGGCCTGCTGGCCACCCCTCAGACATCGTGTCCAGTGGCTTTGGGTAAGTGGCGCAGCCAGCAGCAGCTGCAGACTCATTTGTTCCTACTGAAGGAAGAGCTGAGTACTAAAGACACCCCCTTCTTCCTTCCTTTCCAGCATTACAGGAGAAAACAGGCCAAGAGTTAGAGTTCAGATGTGGAGAAAATCTCGATTTGTCCCATAATTTGTCTAACAATCTGAGTATTGACTGCTAATAGCACTAATTGTGGTTTTGCCCATCTACTGGGAAAAAATGGCAGTTTTCAGGTGGAGTTTGGGTGTGTAGCTTTTAGAATCTATTACTCCTGTATACTTGCAGTATATTTGTCATATAGTTTATATAGGGCCTGTGTTGTTCTTCTGAAGTGAAAAATTTAAATAAATTTCAATTTTGCAGAGGAGAGCTGCTCTTTTGGAATTTGACCCAGCCTGGCAAACGAAAGTGGACTCTTCTGGGATCTTCAGAAGGACAAAACCACTCCAGAATTGTGTTCAATCTCAGTTCTGTGAAGCACCAAGACAGAGAGCTCCTTTTTTCCATTTCAATGGACAGAGATGTAAGAACCATTTAAAAATTAGCATAGGAATGCCTCTACAGTGCAGCTTGACTGAGTGAGACTAACCCTTTTAGGGCCACAGTTTTTCTCTAGAAGTGGGTTTATTTTAGCACTTTATAACTTCACTTCTTGCCGTTTGTTCTGAGCACAGGTTGGGTATGTTTCTGTTAGTTTACAAGCTTAATTTCTTACTACGTGAGTGAATGCTTATGACATTCTGGACTTGAATTGTAAGCATTTAATGAAAAGAGTTTTACACTTCTTTTCTTCTATATTTCACTTTTAAAAGGCCTGGTTTTCCTTCTTAAATTCCTTTAATTGTACAATTTAATGCACCTATTTTTTAATGGGTCTTTTTTTAAAATCTTCGGTCTTTTACAGGCAGCAGAGTGCTTCCTATTTTGAAATTGGAAGAGAAACTTAGTAAAATATATTCATTATGTCCATTCCAGTCTTGCAGCTACTGCAGCCTTGTGCCATGGAATCCTCTGGGTGCAGATCACATCCTGCCAAGCCTTGCATTTGACCCTTCGATTCTTCATTTCACTTCTGCTTTGTTTTCCGTGTCCTGTCAATCACTCTGTATTTAACTATTCCTTCTTCCTCAAATATTCTTCAGGTGAAATGTTGGGATCTGTCAACTCTGGACTGCAGCTGGACCGTGCCCTCCCTTGGAGGGTTTGTCTACAGCCTTGCCTTCTCCCCCGTGGACACAGGCTGCCTCGCCATCGGCGTTGGGGACAGCATGATCCGAGTGTGGAACACTTTGTCCATCAACAACATTTATGATGTTAAAACCTTCTGGCAAAGCATAAAGTCCAAGGTTACAGCAGTAAGTGTGCTTTGGATTCCTTTTTTTCTTTTTTTTTTCCTTATCTCTTTTTCTCACTCCATTTTTTTCAAGTATGTTTTTCTCTCTCTTTCACTCTGAAGTTTTGTCTCATCTAAAATGAGATAAAGCCACCTTGTTCATTTTATACTTAATTCTTTCTGCATACAATACATTTTAGAATCTGGCAACAAGTTTTTAGATCTATTTACAATCCTAGAAGCTTGCATTTACATGTAGTGGAAATAAGCTGAAGTCCAGCTGGCTGTTATGTTACTTTTTCACTTTTATCCTCCTTCATGATTCTTCCTTGCTTCACCCATGGTTGCCCTTGCTCTGCTAGGAAGTTTGACAAATACAAAAAGCCAATACAACCAACTTAGGTGTCTTCAGTTGGAGTTTAACCACTGGTTGGTCAAAAGCTACTGCCTGGTAAAATAGCTGGCAGCTAGTTCTGTTTTGTAAAGT